GTGTGTGTGTGTGTGTGTGTGTGTGTGTGTGTGTGTGTGTTCGTGTGTGTGCGTGTGTGTTCACATTCACATTCGAGGTCACTGACTGTGTTTGTGTGTGTGTCTGTGCAGAGCGCCGGCTGTGATGATCTCCTGGGCTCTGGTAGTGTTCCTGATAAATGCGGCGTGTGCGGCGGAGACAACAGTGCGTGTAAGCTCGTCTCTGGCCTGTTCCAGCACAGTCTGTCTAAAGTGGGCTATCACAAGATCGTGGAGATCCCGCCGGGAGCCACCAAGATCAACGTCACCGAGATGGTGAAGAGCAGGAACTACCTGGGTGAGTAAAGAGCTGTTCACAGCAGGAAACATAACTATAATAATAACTTTAACCATAGGAGCCGATTTCTTTTTCCACTGGTGGGTGCTCAGCACACCGACAACCCCAGTTCTTCAGTTACAAATTATAAGTTCAGTTATAAATTCACATGAAACATACTGACATCTTCAATAGGCAGCCTAATAAAAATATTCTGAATGCTCAGCATGTTCACCGACGGTTTGGTTAGAAACATACACCTTTTCATTTTTTACATTCATCTCCGCATGAACAAATAATGACTTAAACGTAATATTCTCACTTAACAATTAGCTCAAATAGAACAAATAATTATATTGCTCCAGATTCTCAAAACGGACACAAGACACAAACACGGACACAACCTAGACAAAAAAAATCGTATAAAACATATTGACAGCTTCTAAGAAAAAAATATGATGTATACGAAGCTTTAAATTACGACTGGCTAGAAACGCATTCTTTTTTTAAATGGAGCTCTACATGAATAATAACTTAAAACATTTTGACATTCTTACTTAACGATTAGTTAAAATCCAATGAATAATTCACATTTCTCCCGATCTTCAGTTACAAAAACAGAGCTTAATCACAAGAAATTAATATAAAGCATATCGACAGCTTCTATAAGAAATATTATGCACACACACTAAGCTATAACTTTTTCAAATTGACTGTAACAATAACTATAACTACTATGATAACTATTTCAATAATTATAACGGTTACTATAATGATAGCTATAATAATAACTGTAATGATAAATGTAATGAAAACTATAGTGATAAATATAACGATAACTATAATAACTTTAATGATAACTGTACTGCGTACTAAAGTGATAACTATAACGATAAATACTATAGTAACTATAACTATAGCAATAACTACAACTATACGACAACAATAATAATAACTATACTACTTTCTAAATCATTAACTATAACTATAACAATAACTGTAATGATAAATGTAGTGAAAAATATAGTGATAACTATAACGATTACTATAACAATTACTATAATGATAACTATAAATATAGCGATAACTATAACGATTACTATAACAATTACTATAATAATAACTATAAATATAGCGATAACTATAACGATTACTATAACAATTACTATAATGATAACTATAAATATAGCGATAACTATAACGATTACTATAACAATTACTATAATGATAACTATAACTATAGCAATAACTACAACGATTACTATAACAATTACTATAATGATAACTATAAATATAGCGATAACTATAACGATGACTATAACAATTACTATAATGATAACTATAAATATAGCGATAACTATAACGATGACTATAACAATTACTGAGTTTAATAAATGTTACGCACAGTGTTGGGGAAAGTTACTTTTAAAAGTAATGCATTACAATATTGCGTTACTCCATAAAAAAGTAACTAATTACGTTACTTAGTTACTTTTTATGGAAAGTAATGCGTTATGTTACTTTTGCGTTACTTTTTAACAGGGCTTGCTTGTTTGTTTTTAAAATAAAAAAGTTATATTTTTGGCAAATATAAAAGCCTTTCACACCAGAAGTGAAATGAATAAGCCTCAGGCTGAAGGGAAAGTACAGTAGAACGCAGAAGAAGACATTTCAACACACTTCAGCAATAAACAAAGACACAGATGTGTGTCTAGAGTAATTTGTGTTTATTAGTACGCTTGAACTGCATCATCGAAGGTCAGAAGCAAATAGAATGGGATTAAATACATAAAGCATATTTGTGTTGTTTAGCGTTTAATTATTGCAGGTTTGCGGCATATTCTGAGCTGCATTTTGAGGAATACTGAACCTGTGTTTTTTTGTTTTTGTGAGTGAGATGAATTAATGCATATTCATATCTATTTTAGAACTACAGTAACATCTGATTTCTCTCACCATGGCAACACCAGAGTTGTCAAACAATACATTTGAAAAAAAAGTAACTTGCGTTACTTATTTGAAAAAGTCACTCGGATATTCTCTTGTAAATTAAAAACTTGTTACTTGAAAAAAGTAATCTGATTATGTAACTCGCATTACTTGTAGTGCGTTACCAACAACATTGGTTACGCATGTTCTGATTGGCTGTGATTTTGTGACTCCATTTAGTAAAGCACCAGTCTCCAAACGTGTCTTAAAAACTCAACTCTGGATGTGTGACCTGCGGCCGAAGCAGCTATTTCAGAACGCCTCACTTTAAACCAGCTGCTTGTAAAACACATCAGATCTGTTCCATCTCAGCGGAAAGCATCCTAACGTATATTTCAGTCTCTCTGTAAGTGCTGGTTTGTTAGTTAAAGGCCCAGACTGAGTGAGTTTTTATAGCCTGCGGCTGCGCAGATAAACACACTCTCCATCGTTCAGCCTCCAGCTCAGCTTTCTAATTCTAAATGTGTGACGCTTTGTGCTGCTTGTTTGCAGTAGCTGAACATGGTTTATGTTGTCGAGGACTGCAGGACTAACCACGGCTTTATTAAATGACAAACTCTGCGGAGGATGGAAAATTATTTTCTCACAGTGTCCGGATTTTCCTTCCCCTGATTTATGAGCCACAGGATTCAATAAACATCCCGTGTAAACGCTCTGAGGGCTATGAGGGCCTCGGGTCACTGCGTGTGTTAGTCAGCGAGCGCTTTGAGTTTTATGTGTGTGTCAGTGTTTGTCAGAAGCACCGTTAAATGCTGAAGTTCCCCGTTAGGCAACAATCCGGCTATAACTCTGAGCAGCTACTGTGTGTGTGTGTGTGTGTGTTTATGTGGTTTATGAGGACACAAATTTGTATAATAACATGGGTATTACAACGAGAAGGTGATTTATGAGGACATTTTCAGTGTCCCCGTAATTCAACAGGCTTATAATTAATTCAGAATGAGTTTTTTTGAAAATCTAAAAATGCAGAAAGTTTCCTGTGAGGGGTAGGTTTAGGGGTAGGGTGTGTGTGTGAGTGTGTGTGTGAGTGTGTGTGTGTGTGTGTGTGTGTGTGCATGTGTGTGAGCGTATATGTGAGTGTGTGTGTTTTTGTGACAAATGAGGACATACATGTGTATAATGACAAAGGTATGACAGGTATTACAAGGAGAAGGTGACTTTTCAGGACATTACCCCATGTCCCCACTTTTCAAAACGCTTATAAATCACACAGAATGGAGTGTATTGAAAATCTGAAATAGCAGAAAGTCTCCTGTGAGGGGTAGGTTTAGGGGTAGGGTTGGTGTAGGGCAATAGAATATACGGTCTGTACAGTATAAAAACCATTACGCCTATGGAGAGTCCCCACTTTTCACAAAAACAAACCTGTGTGTGTGTGTGTGTGTGTGTGTGTGTGTGTGTGTATGCAGCCCTGCTCAGCCGGTCTGGCCGATCCATTATTAATGGAAACTGGGCCATCGACCGTCCAGGAATGTATGAGGGAGTGGGAACGATGTTCACGTACCGGCGGCCGAATGAGATCAGCAGCACCGCGGGAGAATCCTTCCTGGCCGAGGGGCCGACCAATGAGATCCTGGATGTGTTTGTGAGTGACACTGGATATCAGATGCTAGCACTTTCATTGAGACTCAGTATTATGTTATTGCAATATTATATAACTATGTGATTTAATTCAGAGTTATTTAATTATTGTTATTATTATTCATATTATTGTTATTATTGGGGCATTATTAAATGCATATTTATTAATTTAGCTATTGTTATTGTAATATTAATATTATACTGAACTGTTAATACAATGTTTAATTTTAATAACAAAATTCAGTTATTATCATTATTATTATTGTGGCATTGTTACATGTACATTTAGCTATTATTACCACTTTTTATTGTAGCACATTTTTGTAAACTAATGTTATTGCTCTATAATACTTCATTATTAATTAGTGCTGTCAAACGATTAATCGCGATTAATCACATACAAAATAAAAGTGTTTGTTTACATAATATATGAGTGTGTACTGTGTATTAGGGCCGTCAAAAAGGTTCAAATTTAAAATTAAAAACATTGCATTCTAATTTTAGGTGTGCGTTAATGAGGCAGCTTTATCAGCGGCGCACGAGATGACGATGTAAGTGTCGTTGCATTATAATGTGTTTGTTAGCATATCCAGTTGAAGCCACTAGACGCAACGCTGCTGCGTTGTTCATTACTAATATTGCGGAAAAAGAGAACATCAACGTGGAGAAGATCTTGTTTACGTCAAAACGGAAACCAAGCCGTTCACACAGAGCACATATTTCACGCATTTTCTAGAGGGACATCTATCACCGCTGCACTCACATCTCGCACAAAAGAGCCGCATGTTTAGAAAGCCATGTAAAATTAATTAGTTTAACTTTGAAAAAAACACATATATCGAGACTTTATGGCGGGTTTTTCCCATCCCACTGCATCTCATGTTTTTAAATAAAAAAGTACTGTGTGATTGGCTTTCGGTCCTTTGTATTAAACTATGCATGCATACATGAAGCTGTTTTGTTTATAGTTGTTTAAGCAACCAAATTAATTATAATTTCTTCATAAACATTATTTTAATCATTATGCACTTTTGTTCACAGATAGTCATGTTATCTTATGCTTTGAAGAAACATGCATTAGTAATATTTTGCTCGATGCGCCCTCTTGTGGCCTCAGGAGAGAAGACGAAAGCTTTTCTTCACCCTAGCTGAAATTATGCATTTTAAATTCAAGTATAATTCGAATTTTGATAATATTTTAGTACAAAATTCTAATTTAGTTTTTCAGCCATTTTGACTGCCCTAGTGTGTGTGTGTGTACTGTGTATATTTATAATGTATATATAAATACACACACATACAGTATATATTTTGAAAATATTTACATGTATATTCATTTATATTCTTATATTTTATATTATATATAAACATATTTACTATATAAGCATAACATATTTTTCTTAAATATATACATGTATACATACATAAATATAAGCAGTACACATACATATATTATGTAAACAAAAACTTTTATTTTGTATGCGATTAATCGTGATTAATCATTTGACAGCACTATTATTAATATAATGCTTTATTTTATTAATATAATTATGCAATATAATTTTGAGTTATTATTATTATTACATGTATATTTATTCAGTTAGCTATTGTGACACATTTTTGGAAAGCGATATTGAATTATTGAATTATTCATATAATATAAAATAATAATCTTTAATATTAATTATTACTATACTAATATTATCAATATATTATTTTTGTTGTTGTTGTTATATTTTAAAAAATATTATTATTATTAGTGGGGCATTTTTACATGTATATTTATTCATTTAGTAGATGCTTTTATCCAAAGTGACATTTAAATGAGGATTATTATAAGCATTAATAGTTCAATCGCCTTATTGACATATGTGACCCTGGAGCACAAAACCAGTCATAAGGGTCAATTTTTTTAAATTGAGCTGTATGCATCAGCTGAAAGCTGAATAAATAATCTCTCCATTGATGTATGGTTTGTTAGGATAGCACAATATTTGAAAATCTGGAATCTGAGGGTGCAAAAAAATCTAAATATTGAGAAAATCATCTTTAAAGTTGTTCAAATGAAGTTCTTAGCAATGCATATTACTAATCAAACATTAAGTTGATATATTTACGGTAGGACGTTTACTAAATATCTCATGGAACATGATCTTTACTTAATATCCTAATGATTTTTGTCATAAAAGAGAAATGTATAATTGTGACCCATACAATGTATTGTTGGCTATTGCTACAAATATCCCCCAGCCACTTAACACTGCTTTTGTGCTGCAGGGACACATATAAGGTCTTCAAACTGAAAACCCGCTAGAAGCTCAAGACTTTATTCAGGCAGAAAGACTGTAGCTGGCAGTAATAGATGATCGCTGACGTCTCATCTCTGTGTTTGTCTCCTCAGATGATCTACCAGCAGCTCAATCCAGGCGTTCATTATGAGTTCCTCATGCCGTCAGAGAACGCCGTAGATGCTCCGCGTCCTAAACAGAACCAGCTGGACCGTGAGTCAATACGTGTTATGCTTATTTTTCCATAGGTCATTTTTTGGGATGCGATTAATGTTATTTACTTGTAAAATGCTTTATTAGAGCTCTGCATTGTCCTGCGCTCTGTTTACTGGATCTTGTGTTGTGAATGCAGTGAATGCTGTGAACGGTCCGGCTGGTTCTGATGCGAACGGCCCGTCGACCCCGGAGGATCACGAGAGGTCAGGGGTCAGCTATCCTCCTCCCGTCCCGGATAATCAGCTTCCCGCAGCTCCGCCTTCAACCGGAGCCAGAGAATACAACTGGAAACTCGGCGGCACCACAGACTGCAGCGCCTCCTGTGGACGAGGTGTGCATTTACACAAACATTGTGCAGTGTCTAATTCAGTGAAACTTAAAAAATTTAAATGCTCTCACCCTCAGGCCCCAGCCGATTAGGATGAGTTTGTTTCTTCATCAGATTTGGAGAAATGTAGCACTGCATCAGTGTCTCAGCAATGGATGCTCTGCAGTGAATGGGTGCCGTCAGAATGAGAGTCCAAACAGCTGATAAAAACATCACAATAATCCACAAGTAATCACAGCACTCCAGTCCATCAGTTAACATCTGGAGAAGACAAAAGCTGAAACTAATCCAGCATTAAGACGTTTTTATCTTTAAATCATTGCTTCCGGCTAAAATACGAGTCCATAATCCATAATAACGCTTCCTCCAGTGAAAAAGTGCATCTGCTGTTGTCTCCCACATCAAAATCAAAGCTGTTTAAACGCTGCTTGATCTGTGCAGATTTCTCTCCTGATTCAGACCAGAACACTTTTTCACTGGAGGAAGAGTTATTATGGATTATAGACTCTATGTATTTGAGTTAAAAGCGTCTTAATGCTGGATGTGTTTCAGCTTTTGTCTTCTCCAGATGTTAACTGATGGACTGGAGTGCTGTGGATTATTGTGATGTTTTTATCAGCTGTTTGGACTCTCATTCTGACGGCACCCATTCACTGCAGAGCATCCATTGCTGAGACACTGATGCAGTGCTGTAATGATGTAAAGATAAGCTGCTGTGTTCTGTAAGACGTTAGCTGGTTGTATCTGATGTTCAGGAAGCAGGTTCTCTGTGTTCGTCTGTGTTCACCGAGGATCTCACGCTCTCGTGCCGATCGATCTGTGCGACAGCAGAACCAAACCCAGCCCTCAGGAGGAGCCGTGTAACGTCCAGCCCTGCCCTACCTTGTGAGTCTCCTCTTCTTCATGTGTGTGTGTATGTGTGTGTGTGTGAGTGTGTGTGTGAGTGTGTGTGTGTGAGTGTGTGAGTGTGTGTGTGTGAGTGTGTGTGTGTG